AAACGCCAAAAAGTGGGTAGTTCCACAATTAGTTCTGGTACTATGAAAAGGTTCCCGTGGTGCGAAAGGCCCTTATATCTTAATTCATCCTAGCTTTATTCACTCATGATTTCTAGCTCCTCTGCCTGTTCCTGTCATCTTCAGCTACTGTCCTCCTTCATCATCCAAATGTGTGCTGCTGTGCTCAGCGGTGAATGTGGGTCAGGTGACTCTCTCTTGGTACAAAGAAAACCGTTTATTGTCCAGCATCAGTGTGTCTGATCTCAGCATCAGTCTCTCTCTGCCTCTGGAGGTGGAATATCAGGATCAAAACCCCTACAGATGTGTGCTGAACAATTCATTCACTGAGCAGACTCAACATCTGGACATCAGTGAACACTGTCACACATGTTCAGGTACGATAGTGCTGATATTAGTTGAGGTCAGCAGTGATTTTGCTATGTATTTAGCATGTATTTCATGTTTTTACTCCTCAGGCACAGTGCGCGGTTGTGATACTGTTCAAGCTGTGATCCGATTGGTCGTCACTGCTCTAGTGGGCGTGGCTGCTGCGGCTGCTGTTGTTGTTCTGTATTATGACATCAGATCCAGAAGAGCTGAACAGAATCAATCACATTCTCCCATATCAGCAACCTAAATGATGTGGTTATTTCTGATTAACTTTTTGGTCATTTATAAATGATAATTTATTTTCAAAGGCTTTGTATATTTATCTGCTCGTATCGATGTTGATTTATCAGCAGCTCATTTACACCCTAGAGGATTTGAGAATAAAAAGCAATACAAGTATCAAATGCAAGTATTTGTCATAATAAATACAGAGATTACTAGAGATCGGGGTGGGGGTTAGGGCAATTGGTAACAGTTAACCAAGCCCAGGCCCGGTTCTACAGGGTGTTAGAGTGTGCTAAACTATCCAGTGCGTATTTGCATTGTGATGTAAATAAAAGATTCATTGTGCAGTTTAGAGAGCTTCATTGATTATAATGGAACTTTGTGAGATCGTGATGAAGTAAGATGAGTGACAGCTTTTAGTGATTATAAAGGGAGCACACTTTGTGTGTGTTACGGGTCCCGGCCGCAGAACACGTAGGCAGATTAAAAGTACCTGAATTATCAGGAGAAACAAAAGCACATGCAAACTTCAGTGTCTTTCCACAGGCGCAGCTTGTAGTCTCTCTTTATTTGCTCTTTTGTTAGTTTTGACTGCTTTTATTGTATTTGGATAAAAGCGTCTGCTAAATGACTAAATGTAAATGTATTGACATTAACATCATAGTAACAGTATAATATCAATTATATCATCAATGCTCCGCAATGTCCTTCTCAGGTAGACCATCCAGCTACATTTCATATAATCACAAATTATGTTCATTTAATAAAACACAGTTATGTACTCTTTTGTATTTGTTTACAACAGTAAAATCTTAAATGCTCATTTCCTGTATTTACTCTTGTTTTATAAAACACATCTTAACATAACTCCTTTATAATAATCAGCATGCAGCAAAAGACACATTTAAAGGGGTGGTTCATTGCGATTTCACTTTTTTAACGTTAGTTAGTGTCTAATGTTGCTGTTTGAGCATAAACAATATCTGCAAAGTTACAAAGCTGAAAGTTCAATGCAAACGGAGATATCGTCTTTTAAAATTCTGGCAGTTTAATGCCTACAAAAACGGCTGGTAGGGACTACAACGAGTTACTTCCCGGGTTTGTGACATCACAAACCCAGATAAACCCCGCCCTCGGGAAAAGGCAGCAAAGGGGGTGAGGCCATGGCTGCTTTAGAGCAGGGGTTTTCAACCTTTTAGGACATGCGCCCACCCCCAAGTTTGTCTAATTTCACTCGCGCCCTCCCAACATCCAACAGCCCCCCCTCCCTATTATTAGTAGTATTACTGTAGTCACACCGAATTAATTTATTAACAAATATCCATTAAAGCTATTAAAGCAGCGAACACTACAAAACGCGGCAAGTGTTAAAGTAGCCCAATTCCGTGGACTTGGCAACACTGAGCATGACTGATACTTGAGCCAACTCTGCTCTAACTGTCGACTAGCAGTGGGAGTCAGATTTCCCCCTAGTGGATGGCTAAAGATTTAACTCATATTCATAAATTCTCAAGGGAACGTCTCTAAATTAACTGATGCTCGCACCCCCCTTGACAGGTGCTGGCGCGGGCCAGGTTGAAAACCCCTGCTTTAGAGAAGAGGAAGAGAAAACTAGAGGTGCACGTAAAACTCTATTCATATATGTTCATTCAATGTTCTAAAGCAGCGGTTCTTAATACTGTTCCTCGCGTCCCCTGCTCTGCATCTCTCTCTCTCTCTCCCTCTCTCATTCATTCAGCTCAGCTCCAACAATGATCTGTTCCAATTATACACTTATTTTCACATAGCTATGAGAAGCGTTAAACATGGACGTGCGTTCAGTTGCCGTAC